TTGAAATCCTTATCTCCTCTGGCTTCATTGGTATGCACAAAATTGTTTCTGCTGCATACATGTTTTGATTTGTCTGCTTGCTCCAAAGTTTGTGTTCAGACATGAAACAGACTTTGTTGAATAGATAAGTTTAAATGTTTAGGTTTTTGTACCTTTTGCTCTGGAGTCCCTGGGTGGCACAACCAAAAAGTTGGCAGTTTGAACCCACCCAGAGGTGCCTCAGAAGAAAGGCCTGGTATTTGCTTGTGAAAGGTCACAGCCTTGAGAACCCTGTGGAGCACAGTTCTACTCTGCACACATGGGGTCGCCGTGAGTCAGAATTGACTTGACAGCAACTAACAGCACATTTTGCTCTACATGACCTGATATGTCAAAACATATGAAGAGTGCTTTGTTTGCCCCCTTCCCCCCCCCCCGCCCCATTTTTTTCTTTCTCTCTGCTCTTTGTTTCCTGTAGAAACTCCCAGCTTGCTTTTGTTTCAGGAAGTACCTGCAAGTTTTGCTGGGAGATTATAAAATGGCAGAAGTAGTAGCAGCATCAGAACCTACCTAACTTCAGGAGGGATAATGAAAATCAAGATCAGCACAAGGCTGATCCCTGTGAGGTGGAGGTCAGACATTCCTCCACCCTCCAAACTTTTTATCAATTCTGACATCATCCATCCCTCCTACAGCATACTCTACTTCTCTCCTGGGTTCAATGATCCATTGCAGTGGTCACACAGAACTCACGGATCATACTTACAGTTAAGTGGTTTATTAAGGAAGTAACAGGCTAAAACTCAGGGTCAGGAAGCACACAGCAAAGTCTGGAAGGCTGCCCCGAAGGTAAGAGCACATCCCTCCCTTCTTCAGTGCAGGACAACTCGCTTAGCTCCGCTCAGCCATGCAAGCAAGCCGGCCATTTTCTCTGCTGTGCACACACCCTGAGGACAGACCCCTTCTCAGCCCTGCTGTCTGTCACCACTGACTCTGCTGCTGGGCCCCTTCTGGGCCTGTCACCGCAGCTCTGCCACTGGCCCGTTCTGGGTCTGTCACCACAGCTCTGCCACTGGCCCCTTCCCAGCCTGTCACTATCTTCAGTGTGAGAGCCCTTGACTCATATTACAGCTCTTTCAGGACATTCCTTGCCTCCTCTCTCTCTGCTTCTTCTCTCATTCTCTCTCCTTTCTTCCTTCTCCTTCTGTCAACTTCCTGTCTGAAAAACCTATGGGGTTGGCTGCATACATACACAAACTCCTCATCGATTTCAAGGCATGGCTCTCTCACTAGGACCATGAACTGACCAATCCCCTCTTAGTAGGCCACAGGCACTTCATTTGCAAAGTGGGCTATAGACACTTCATTTCCATAGTTTATAGTCACTTCATTTGCATAGTTTATTGACCAATCCCTGCAAGGTGCATACCAATCACAGGGTAGGCTGCAGCCCAGGACCAGATAAAAATATCAAACCAAGTTTTTTGCAGTTTACCCAGGAAATGGAACAAACCCTCTGGGAGAAAACTAGGGCAAAGGTAATTCCTCATGGTTTAGGGGAAAAATTTCTCCAGATGTTTTTCCAAAGAACCAAGGCAAAAAGCCACATATATACATAACGATGAAATACCTACATTTGGAACACATAAAAATATTGCAGCTCTTTTCGTGTAATAAGGCTTCACAAAATAAATAAATAAAAAGCCACTTAAAGGAAATCACTTTAGTACAGAGATGGGCTTCCATCCTGGATCTTTTCTAAACCAAATAAACTCTATAAAATTAACTTTGACAGAAGATTTTTTAACAACTGTTTCTAGTTGGCCACGGAGGACATTTTCCTGCTTGTAGGGAGGCTCTGTTGTGGTTGTTGTTGTCTTGTGCCATCAAGTCGATTCCAACTCATGGCGATCCTGTGTGTTACAGAGTAGAACTGCTCCGTAGGATTTTCTTGGCTGTTATTTTTACAGAAGCAGATTGACAGGCCTTTCTTCTGCAGCACCACTGGGTGGATTCAGGTCACCAACTTTTTGGTTACCAGCTGAGCGCAAACTGTTTGTGCCACCTGGGGACCTTGTAGAAAGGTTCTAGGCCAGGAGTTCTCACAGGGAGGAAGGGGGAAGATTCTGCCCACCAGGGAACATTTGGTGATGTCTGGAGACATTCTTGGTTGTATCAATAGGGGTTGCTACTGGCATCTACTGGGTGGAGACCAGGGATACTGCTTCACACCCTACAGCGCACAGGATGGCCCCCACCACAGAAAATGTTCCAAACCAAACTTCAAACATCAGCAGTACCGCAGTGGGGAAACCCTACTTTAGCTGTGTCTGTCTGTCTATTCCAGTGGTTCTCACCTGGGTGATTTTGACCCAGGGGACATGCGGCAATATCTGGAGACATTTGTGGTTGTCACTGTTCAACACCCTACAGTGCACAGGACACAACCCCCACCCCAGGGAATGACCCAGCCCCAAATGTCAGCAGTGCCAAGGGTGAGGACCCTGTCCTGGAGGGACCTGAGCACAGGTTTGGAGCCGACCTGGGTTCAGACCCCATCTTGGCCCTGGGTCAGTTCTTCACCCCTAAGGCTCTGTTTTCATCATAGGATGTACGTGATCATAGCTCCCTCTGGGTGGTCCTCAGGATTAGATAAAGTCATGTGTCAGTGTCAAGCACATTTCAACTACCTACCAGCGCTCCTTGTTATCATTGTTGTGTGCTGTGGAGTCAATTCTGACTCATAGAAACCCTACAGAACAGGGTAGAACTGCCCCTAGGCTGTAATCTTTACTGGAACAGATTGCCAAGTCTTTTCTCCCACGGAGCCACTGATGGGTTCAAGCTGCCCACCTTTTGGTTAGCAGCTGAATGCTTCACCATTGTGCCACCTGGGCTCCTTGGTAGATGTTGGATATAGGTCCCTGGATGGCGAAAATGGTTTGCACTTGACTACTAACTTAAAAACGGAAACCCTGGTGGCATAGTGGTTAAGAGCTATGGCTGCTAACAAAAAGGTCAGCAGTTTGAATCCACCAGGTGCTCCTTGGAAACTCTACGGGGCAGTTCTACTCTGTTCTGTAGGGTCGCTATGAGTCAGCATCGACTCAATAGCAATGGGTTTGGTTTTGGTTTTACTAACCTAAAGATTGGCAGTTCAAACCCGCCTGGCAGCGCCACAGAAAAAAGGCCTGGTGATCTGCTTCCTTAAAGATTAGAGCCAAGAAAACCCAATGGAGCAGTTCTATTCTGTAACATATTGGGTTGCCAGGAGTCAGAATCAACTCGACGGCAATGGATTTTTTTTTTTTTTTAGGTGTTGGATTCAATTGCATTCTCCCCTTAGGATGGATTCCCAGAAGGGGGGGTTCTTGGGTCCAAGGAAAGGCATGTCTCCCTGGCTCTCACTCTCCCAAAAGAGATGAGTCCAGAATTTAATCCGTTGCCTGCCTCCTGCCGGGAGCATCGACTGGGCAGCTGTTTCTCTGGGTGTACCACAGACATTCTTGCTTTCTTTCCAACTCCTTTTTTGGTTTCTCGGGTTCCAGAAGCACTAGTTTCTTAGGCAGTATAGTTCATCCCTCTTCTGTAAGACATTACAGCTACAGGGTGTCCTTGATTTGCTGCAGATATGTCCCGGTCCCCCAGTTCAGTCAGCGTTACTTACTTAGTCTCTGGTCTCGTTGTTGTTCAGAGCACATTCCACTGAGTCAGCGGGAATAACGAGCACTTCAAGGGGAGCCCACAGAGTGTTTGCCTCTGTAACTCATGACCAGATTCAGCTTTTCTGGCATGCTCGTGTATTACTTGTGTATAATTTTGCAGTCTCTGGTAGTGCAAAGGGCTAAGATGCTCTGCTGCTAACCAAGAGGTTTCAAGTTTGAGTCCTCCCAGAGGCACCTCAGAAGAAAGGCCTGGCCATTTACTTTAAAAAACTCAGCCATTGAAAATCTTATGGAGAACAGTTCTACTGTAACACACCCGGAGTCACCAGGAATTGGGGTCAACTTGATGGCAACTAGTTTTTGTTTTTGTGTATTATTGGCACTGACGTTCACTTCATAACAACAAAATTCATTTCATGAATTTCATATAATTTTCAGGTGTCACAGAAAGTTCTTCTTTGGATTCTTCCACCATCTGCAAATGTAAAAACTATTCTTAGCTCACAGGTTGTACAAAAAACAGGCAGCTTCCAAACCCTAATATATAGATAATTGTAAAAAAAACTGGAAAATATCAAAGAGTAGAAAATATTGTTTCCTAATTTTCCATATCCCCCTCCCCAAGGATTGTGAAAACGTGTTACCACTAAATACTTTTAAATCCCACTTTTTAAGACTCACAAAATTCCCTGGGTGGTGCAAAAGGTGAATGCGCTTAGCTGCTAACCAAAAGGTTGGAGGTTAAAATCCATAGGGAGGAGCCAGAGGTGCCTCAAAAGAAAGGCCCAGCAATCTACTTCTGAAAAATCAGCCACTGAAAACCCTATAGAGCACAGTTCCACTCAGACATACATGGGGTCGCCATGAGTTGGGATTGATTCCATGGCAATGAGTTAGTTTTAATGTATCTGTGAACAAGTCCTCAAGTTATACTCAAGGTTTCGTGCCTCATGGTGATCTATATTTTTTGTTACTTAAACTAATAGCTGTATAACCAATGACGACTGCCTTTGGATAGGCTTCCTACAACTAGAGGTTTCCTCATTTATGACAATTTCACTAGGAAACACCAAGCTGGCCGCAAGGAACTCTGGGGAACATAGTCCAAGTTTTCAGGGAGCGCGTCCCTTGGCGCTCTGCTGTGATGATGCGTTCGGCGAAAGCTGCTAGCGGCGAATAAAAACAGAGATTTTTTTTCCGTAAACGTCCCTCACGGGCGCACTTGGGTTCCGTGTGAGGGGCAGGGCTCCGTGTGCCTACGCGATTGGCCAGCGTCTCCCTGAGCATGTGCATATGCAGCCTCTGGGGCCGCCGCTCTCGCAGGGCCCTCTGGGAGATGTAGTTCGGACTCTCGCTGGACTTAGGTCGTCGGGCGGCTGCTCCGAGGTCCGAGGCCGGCCCTCGCCTTCGGCGCTCGGCTCGGAGGATGGATCCCGGGCCTGGGAACGACTCGGTGCCGCTGACCGGCTTGGCCTGGTCATCGGCCTCGGCGCCTCCGCCGCGAGGATTCAGCTCGGTGAGCGGCGTCGGGGGTGGGGGTTGAATGGGGGCTGAGGGGGCAGCGTCGGGGAACGGGGCTGAATGGGAGTGGAGGCGGCGGAGTTCCGGGTGGGAAACTGGAGCTGACCTCTGCCCACCCCGCAGATCTCTTGCACCGTCGAGGGGGCGCCTGCCAGCTTCGGCAAGAGCTTCGCCCAGAAATCTGGCTACTTCCTGTGCCTCAGCTCCCTGGGCAGCCTCGAGGTAGGGGGCGCCCACGCTCGAGGGTTCCGGGGTCTCCCCGCCGCCCCTGTCTGTTCGCGAGGCCTGATGCGGGCGCTTTGTCCCCGCCGCCTGTGACCTTCGCCGTGTCCCCCAGAACCCGCAGGAGAACGTGGTGGCCGAAATCCAGGTCCTGGTGGACAAAAGCCCCCTCCCGCCCGGCTTTTCCCCGGTCTGCGACCCCCAGGACTCCAGTAAGACCCGCGTCGGGGGCAGGGCGTCCGCGTCCCTCTGGGCAGGAGCAGGGTGGAGGAGGGAAGGGATGACAGCCGCGAGTTCTCTACGCCCAGGCTGGGGGCCCCTTCGGTGCATGGGATGATGATGGCATTGGCTGAATCGTGTTCTTGGGCGGCGCGATGTCACCTGCCCTGGTATAAAATGTGCAACTGTCACAGTCTCTGGCCCACAGTAAGGGTCAGTAAGTGCTACCTCTAGTCTCCTTGTCCCGTGGCCAAATGGAACCCCAGCGCCGTTCTTTTTTTCGTTTTCAGGCCTTTGCATGCGCCGTTCCCTCTGCCTGAAATGCCCTTTCTCTCCTGTTCATGTAGCTCATTTCTGCTCCTCTAGATCCCCATGCCTGTCCCAGCACTGATCACTCCTCTTTCTGACCACCTCATCTCTCCCAGCTGGTCCTGTCATTTTTGTTTGATTCCTTAGGATATATTTATTGATACTGAAGTTGACACACTTTTTTTGTAAAGAGCTAGATAGTGGCCCTTTTTTAGGCTTTGTGGGTTAGATGGTCTCGGTTGCACATTTATCTTTCTTTTGTTATTGTTATTGTTAGTTGCCATTGAGTCGATTCCAACTCCTGGAGACCCCATGTGTTACCTAGTAAAACTGTGCTGGGTAGGGTTTTCAAGGTTGTGACCAGACAGCTGGGTGGTGCAAACGGTTAAGCGCTCAACTACTTACCAAAAGGCTGGTGGTTGTAACCCACCCATAGGTGCCTCAGAAGGCAGACCTGGCACTCTGCATCCCAAAGGTCATAGCCTTGAAAACCCTAGGGAGCAGTTCTGTTCTGCGCATCTGGGGTTGCCGTGAGATTTTTCTTCTAGAACCTGTTGTGGATTGAATTATGTCCCCCAGAAATATGTGTTGTAAATTTTAACCTCTATGCCTGTGGTTATAATCCCACTTGGGAATGGCTTGTCTTTGTTATGTTAATGAGGGAGGATTAGCGTAGGGTGTAGGTTGAATCAATCTCTTTTGAGATATAAAAGAGATTAAACAAGCAAGCAAAAGAGCAGAAATGGGGTAAGATAGATGCCAAGCCACATGGAGATCTCTAAGAAAGCAGGTAGCAGAAGTTGAAGAGACAAGGACCTTCCTCCAGAGCTGCCAGTGAGAGAAAGGCTTCCCCTCCACCTGGTGCTCTGAATTTGTACTTCTAGCCTGCTAAACTGTGAGAAAATAAATTTCTGTTTGTTAAAGCTATCCACTTGTGGTATTTCCATTATAGCAGCACTAGGTAACTAAGACACAACCCTTTAAAAATGTAAAGGGGGTAGTGGTGGTTCCGTAGTAAAATTAATACTTCCATGTGGGAGACCCGGGTTTGATTGCTGGCCAATGTTCTGCATGCTCAGCCACCAGCTGTCAGTGGAGACTTGTGTGTTGCTATGATTCTGAACAGGTTTCAGCAGAGCTTCCAGACTAAGAAGGTCTAGAAAGAAAGACCTGGAGATCTCCTTCTTCTGAAAATCAGCCAGTGAAAACCCTATGGATCACAGTGGTCCAATCCACAACTGATCATGGGGATGGTGTAGGACCAGGCATCATTTTATTCCGTTGTGTATGGGGTCACCAGGAGTCGGGCTGATTTGACAGCAGCTAACGGCAACAACAAAATATAAAAACCATCTGAGCTTCTGAGACATCAGAAAGCAGGTCTTGGGTCCGATTTGGCTTGTGGGCCATAGTTGGCCAACCTCTGGGTTAGAGGACTGAGGGAAAGTGAGGCTTGGAGTGCCAGGATGGGCACCTGGCTGGACACCTTCACTGGTGTCCACAGCTGCCCCATGAATGCCTGTCCGCATCACCAAAGATCAGCCTGCCCTAAGGAGTCCTTCGGTAGCATAATTAATGCACTCGGCTGCTCACTAAAGGGTTGGAGTTTTGAGTTCACCCAGAGGTACCTCGGAAGAAAGGCCTGGTGATCTACTTCTGAAAAAATCAGCTGCTGAAAACCCTATAAGCACAGTCATACCCTGACCCTCAGGAGGTTGTCATGAGTTGGAGTCAACTCCCCAAAAAATGGTAATGACTCCTAATGGCTTCATGGTGCCTCCTCCTACACCTATAGCACTCACGATTTAACCCATCTCCTCCAATAGCCATGCAGGCTCGAGCTCCGTCTGGAGCCCTCTTTGGGCTCTCCTGCCCTTCCTGCTTCCATCTCTCACTTTCCTTCCCCCACCCCCAGGGGCCCCCGTGTCCAAGAAGAAACGAATGTGTGTGAAGCTGGTACCCCTGGGGGCTGCGGACACGGCTGTATTTGACGTCCGGCTGAGCGGGAAGACCAAGACGGTGCCTGGATACCTGCGAGTAGGGTAGGGCTGCCCCAGTCGCCAGTCTCCTTCCCTCCCTTCCAAACTCCTGTATGGGCCCCTCTGACCATCAGGTACTCCCCTGAGTTGCTATCCCTTCTGTCATCTCTCAGGGACTTAGTTTCTGCATCTTAAAAATGAGACCACTGTTCCAGTCTCATAACGCCATTGTGAGGAGTATATGAGCTGGTGTGTTGTAGAACGGTGATGGGCACCAGCCTTAAGCATCAGTTACTGTGTTGCTAGGAATCCCTGGGTGGCTCACATCACTAAGCGCTTGACTACTAGCCAGAAGTTGGCAGTTTGAACCCACCCAGTGGCTCCACAGCAGCAAAGACCTGGTGATTTGCTTCTGAAAGGTCACAGCCTTGAAAACTGTATGGAGTAGTTCTACTCTGACACACATGGGATCACTTCATCATGAGTCAGAGTCAGCCCAGTAGCAACTAACAGCAATGATTGTATGTGCTTAGGGTGTGGGTTGAGATGCTGAAACAAAAATCCCCAGAATAATGAATCACCCAGAGGCCTGGGTTCCTCCTGCCTGGTGACCCCACCCTGACAGCATGTTGGAATGTCGGGCTTCGGCCCCCAGTCCAGGTCCATCTCTTCCAGGCCTTTCCACCTGGGCCAGCCACACTCCCTCCCTCCTTCCTCCCCTTCCAGGGATATGGGTGGCTTCGCCATCTGGTGCAAGAAGGCCAAGGCCCCGCGGCCAGTGCCCAAGCCCCGCGGGCTCAGCCGGGACATGCGGGGCCTCTCCTTGGACCCTCCGGGCCAGCCCAGGTGAGCCTCAGGGTATGAGGGTGGGGGCTGCCATGGGTGGGGGTGCATCAGGCCTGACCAGGGCCACCCCCTTTCCACAGCAAGGGCAGCTTCCCGGAGCGGACGCTATCACGGCTAGGCTCACGGGCGTCTACCCTGCGGAGGAGCGATTCCATCTATGAGGCCTCCAGCCTCTACGGCATCTCAGGTAAGTGCAGGAAGGGAAACTGAGGTCTGGGGGTCACATAGCCAGGAAGGGGCAGAGCCAGGATTTAAATGATGCTGTTTGATGCCTGGCTGGCCCCCCAGGCCAGGTGGACAACAGGCACTTCAGTGTCTTCCCCTCCCCCATACTTTCCTCAGCCATGGACGGGGTTCCCTTCACGCTGCACCCCAGATTCGAGGGCAAGAGCTGCGGCCCCCTGGTGAGTCTACTCTCCCTTTCCTGTCCTGGGCACAGAGGACCCAGCAGGAGCCACACCCCGTGTTCAGCAGCCCCTGGCACACACGCACGGCCCTCCGCACCTGGGGCCACACAGGGTATTTGAGAAACATAATTCCACAAAAAAGTTCTGGAACATTTCCTTGGGTTGGGGGAATGGGTGAGGTAGTGTGGAGGCCAAGGAGGGGCAGATGTTGGGTAGGGGCTTCCTTGGAGAGTAGGGGATAGCGGGTGGCAGGGGGTGTTCTGGACGCAAGACTGACCCACCCCCGCCCCTCAGGCCTTCTCTGCCTTTGCTGACCTGACCATCAAGTCACTGGCGGACATCGAGGAGGAGGTGGGTGCCAGGGCAGGAGAGAGGCAGGTGCTGGGATGCTCCCCCCCCACCCTAATCTCTCCCTGGCCCCCTTTCTTCACCCTAAGTGTCCCCCATTACCTGCCATTCCTTGGTTACCCCCCCATGGCCCGCCCTTCATCCCCAGCCCCTCCCTCACTCTGTGACACCCCCGCCCCCACAGTACAACTATGGCTTTGTGGTGGAGAAGACAGCAGCTGCCCGCCTGCCCCCCAGCGTCTCGTAGCCCCTCACCTGCCTGGGAGCCCCTGGCTGTCCCTGCAGCCAGCGCCCCCAGCCTGGGCCATGGAGCCATCTCCTCTGCTCCCGCTCTGTCATGGGAACCTCGGTGTCTCAGAGCTCAGAGAGCCCCGTCGTCAACCCAGCCCTGGAGGAGGGGGTGGGGCGAAGCTACTGGGGGAGAGGGGGTCTTCTGTCCTTGAGCCCCCGTGGGCAGGGGTGGGGTTGGACAGAAACCAGTGCCTTTGAGTCATTTGTGTCAAACTCTACGGTGCCCGGGGAGGAGGAGTGTCCTCCGGCAATAAACACTGCCTCCCTGCCATCCAGAGTCCTGATCCTGGCCTGGACCACACCACCTCCGCCTCCACACACAGCAGGACCCTGATGGTGGGCGGGAGGGGGAGGCGGGTCACAGAGCCCCTGCAGCCGCGCTGGTGCACAAAGGGGGAATTTGAGGCTCTGAGAGTGACTGGGCAGCATTTCCAGATGGCAGAGATGACCCAGTCCTCGTCCGCCTTTGGGAATGATAAAACCAAAAAACCCGTTGCTGTCAAGTGGATTCCAACTCATAGCAAACCTATAGGACAGAGTAGAACTGCCGCATAGGGTTTCCAAGGAGCAGCTGGTGGATTCAAACTGCTGCCCTTTTGGTTAGCAGCCAAACGCGTAACCACTGTGCCCCCAGGGCCCCTTGGGGATGATATCAGTGACTAATACCAAAAAAAAAAAAAAAAAAAAACCAAATCCGTTGCTGTCGAGTCAATTCCGACTCATAGTGACCCTATAGGACAGAGTAGAACTGTCCCGTAGAGTTTCCAGGGAGCGCCTGGTGGACTTGAACTGCCAACGTTTTGATTAGCAGTTGTAACTCTTAACCATTACACCACCAGCGTTTCCCAGTGACTAAGAGTAATGGTATATGTCTCCCGGGGCTGCTGTAACAAATGGCCATACACTGGGTGGCTTAGAACAACAAAGATTTATTCTCTCACAGCCCTGCAGACCAGAAGTTCAAACTGAGGGTGTCCGCAGGGCTGTGCTGCTTCTGGAGGTCTAGGGGAAGATCCTTCCTTGCCTCTTTCCAGCTTCTGGTAACTGTAGGCATTCCTGGGCTTGTGGCCACATCCCTCCAATCTCTGCCTCCATTGTCACATGGCCTTCTCCCCTGTGTCTCTCTTCTCTTGTATGAGACCCACCCCGCTATAGGACGATCTCATGTTAACTGATAACATCTTGAAAGACCCTGTTTCCAAACAAGGTCATATTCATAACTACCAGGGTCAGGACTTGAACATGTCCTTTAGGGGGGGATACACAGTTCAAGCCATATAAATAGCCACAATTCATATCACATCGACTGCACGCCGAACACACAATACACGTGTCACGTTGGTCCTCCCACAGCCTGGAGGAAAGCCTTGTTTTTGTCGCCATTTTACAGATAGGGAAACTATGGCAGGGCAAGTGAAGATCACAACTGGGCTTTCAACCCACAGCCTGCACGCTTGACCATCAGGCTGTTCTGCACATTTCTTTTCCTTTGCGGGGTGTGTATGCATGTGTGTGTGTCCTACTCAGGAGTGGAAACTGAGGAGCTTGTGTCCAACAGACCTATCCTGGGGGCTGAGGGGGGAGATATGGCCCTGCCTTTGGGTCTGAGCAGGGAGGCACAGCCCATGCTAGGGTTCTGAGGTGGGAGAGACAGGGCCCCGCCCTGGGGGCCTGAGGGAGATGTGATCCTACCCTGGGGGCTTCAGGGGGAGGAGACATGGCCCTGCCTTGGGGGTCTGAGGTGGGAGACAGAGGGTCTGAGGGGGCTCATAGCCCCACTCTGGGAGTCTGGCATGGGGGAGACAGTATAAAATGTACCCTCCTCCAAACTTCAGCTGCCTTAGAAAAGCCACCCATTTAGCTCTGAGGTAGGTGGGTGCGTGGACCCCCACTTTCCTGCCCCCGTCTGTGTGTGTCCCCCCTGGGCCCCTCCCCACCTGCCCGGCGCCACCGCAGAACCTGATCTGACCGGCTGGGAAGCAAAGACCGTTTGTTCTCCCTGTCACCATCCTGGCTGCCCCAAAACAGGCCCAGATCACTTTCCAGGGTGGCCACATGTGACCGGGCCCCCAGAGGACCGTCCTGGCGCTGCCACTCAGCATTGCAACATCCCCACCTTCGTGCAGCCACCCCCTCTAGGGAGCTGCTCACTGGCCCTGACTGAGGCCAGATTGGTCCTAGACCCCCCAGCGCTGGGCAGTTTGGGGCACCATGCTCTGGGCTGAGCTGACATAGGATGAATCAAGCTTCTGGCTGCCACGGCCCTCTGTCCAAGAAGGGTGTTTGTCCTTCCTGCCTTTTGCTGGCGCCTGGTGCCGAGAGTGAGGCATCGCAGGGGGGCTGGGTACCAAACGGGCCTTTCTGCAGAAATTCCCTCTTTCTTCTTTACTGCTCACTAACTGGTGACGCTGGGCAAGTGGCTTAACCTCTCTGTGCCTCAGTTTCCCCATCTTTATGATGGAAATCACCACAGTCCTCATATCCTGGGGCCCTGGGGCTGTGTCTCTTGGCTGACCATTGTAAAAAAACGATTCCCAGCTCTGAAAGGCCTTTGCAGCTGGGAGGTTTTTGCAGCATGAGGTCCAAGCAGGGTGAATGGCGTGAATCCCGGGAAACCTCACACTTCCTGTATTCAAATGTTGCAAAGCCCAGCTGTGGCCCCCACCACTCTCTGCCCCCAAATCAGTGCCTGCCTCAAGCATTTACGTTCCATTCCGTTTACATTCTGAGTTGATACTGGTTGTTGTGTCATGGTCAATAATGGTAACACCTAGAGATGATGCGTGTGTGCGTCAGGCATGGTGCTTGGCACATGGTCGGCATCCAAAAACCAATAGCTCCAAAAATCAGGACATAGTATGGTTAAGTGCTTTCAATATTCCACTTAAGCCTACTGTTGCAAAAATGCAACTTATCTGGAGTACTGATGCTGTATGTGTCCTCTCCCCCGCCCCCCCATTCCCTCTGCATCCCTCTCTCTGTGGCGATGATCACTCAGGACAAACACCTGCAACTCTGCCTAGGGCCTCCTCTGGCTGCAGCAGCATATCCACCCAAGCACAGGGAAAGCGTTAACACCCCCCGAAGCAGCTCTCACCAATACCTGATGGGAGTCAGAGGATAAATGCCCTGGCTGCCTTCCTTCTGAGGTGGGACAACTCTGAGCCGTGTGCTCTACGCTGTCTCCCTGCGGTTCCCCAGCCAAACTGAGCCCTGGCTGCCTAGTGTCACCTGGTCTTTGGCGCCCCATACAGGGCTCCTTTCCTCCCTGTCTCACCTCCCCACTCCCCAGGATGGATTCCTGGGGTTGCCAGATAAAGCACATGCTCGCAAATCATCTCAGGGTCTGATCCTGGGGACCCTAAACCAAGACAACAACCTTGAAAGACGTTGACTACGCCCTAAAAGGCACCAGGATGCTAATAGCCACTCTGGAATAACTGAGATGATCTAACCGAAAACAAACCCGTTGCCATCGAGTTGATTCCGACTCGTGGCGACCCCATGTGTTACGGAGTAGAACTGCGCCATAGGGTTTTTCACAGAAGCAGATTGTCAGGCCTTTCCTCCATGGCATCGCTGGGTGGGTTTGAACCACCAAACTGTAGGTTAGTATTTGTGCGAAAACCATTTGCCCCACCCAGGGACCTCCTGATACCCTTTCCTATTTGGTCCTCCTGGCTGTGCTTTGGGGGTGGGGTGTTATTCTTGTCTTTTGAAATGAAACCGAGGTGCAGGTCCCATGACTGTCGCTGAGCCAGGGCTGTCCTGGAACATGCCAAACCCTGATCACGTGTCTCCTCTGAGACCAGAGACCTGAACACTTGGCTCCAGTCCTGGGCCTACCTCATCCCTCCCCACCTGATTTTGCTCAAGATACGAAGATGCTCAGCTCCCCATCCAGGGCAGGCCAAACGGGGCCAGGTTTCGGCCGGGCTGTGGGCAACGCTCCCAGCAGCCTCCCGAAACCTTTCAGAGTTTCCTGGACTCTGGCTTGAGGCCTCAGAGAAAGGAGCAGAAACTGGACTAGGGTGAGGCAAGTGAGGTGCCCAGGGCACAGAATTTAAGGAGGTGCTCACTTCCCAGCAGAGGCTGAGCCAGCACCACCACCAGCCCAAGAGTGAGCACATCCTTACATTTTCAAAATCGAGGCAAATTTCACATAACGTAGAATTAACTATTTTAAAGTTCACAATTCAGTGGCGTTTAGTCCATTCACCATGTCGTGCAACCACCACTTCTATCTTGTTCCAGAACATTCTCATCACCCCAAAAGGAAACCCTGTACCCATTAGTAGTCACTCCGCATTCCCCCTCCCCCAAGCTCTTGTTATGTGCCTTAGAGTTGATTCCAACTCATAGAGACCCTATGTTACAGAGTAGAACTGCCTCATAGAGTTTTCTAGGCTGTAACCTTTATGGGAGTAGATCACCAGGTCTTTCTCCCACAGAGCCTCTGGTAGGTTCCAACCATCAACCTTTCAGTAAGCAGCTGAGTGTTTAACCATTGAGCCGCCAGGGCTCCTCCCCAAACTCTAGGCAACCACTAATCCACTTTCTATCTCTATGGATTTGTCTGTTCCAGATATTTCATATACATGGAATCCTACACTATGTGGCCTATTGTGTCTGGCTTCTCTCACTGAGCATCATGTTGTTGAGGTTTATTCCCGTTGCGGTGTGAATCAGGACTTCATCTCTCTTTATGGCTGAGTAATGTTCCATTGTATGGATGGACCACATTGTGTTTGTCCATTCACCTGTTGATGGATGCTTGGGTTGTTTCCACCTTTTGGCTATTGTGAATAATGCTGCAAAAAACATGCGTGTACAAGGACTGCACCTTCATAAATTTTGTGCCCCCACCTCTTCCTGGCCCTGAGGATGAGGCCAGCACCTTCTGCTCCTGAGCTGGGGTCAGGGTCTTTTGAGACCCCAGGATTTAGCTTTTAGCTCCCCTGACAGGTCAAGGAGATGAGGCACTCCTTGCAGGCAACCGGCAGGGGGGCTCTCGGCCTCTCTCTCCCCTCCTATCCCTACCCTCCCTGAAACCCCAGGACCCTGCCCCATTTCCAGAGTGTTCTAGGAACCAGGCACATGGTCTGTCCCAGGAGCCCTACATGGCGGGGTTCCAGCCACCGCCACCACGTGATCTCACATGAACAAGTGGCCTCATTTCTCGGGCCTCAGTTTCCGCATCTGTGAAAGGGGCTTTCCTGAGAATTCACGGAGGCCAGTACAGTGTTCGGCGCGTTCCTGCAGTACCAGACATACACAAGGACATGCTGTTTAGTCTTATTTCATCCGCTCTAAGAGCCAATGCTTACTGCATCCCCCCAACATACTGCGTGCCAAGCGAGACGCTCATGTTTGTTATCTTTTTTTTTGTACTTTTTTTTTTTTTTATTGTACTTCAGGTGAAGGTTACAGAACAAATAGTTTCTCATTAAACAGTCAGTACACGTATTGTTTTATGACATTTCAACTCTCTCCCTTCTCGACCTTTTTTTTTTTTTTTTTTTTGGTGAAAATACACATAGCCAAGGATTTACACCATTTCAAAAATTTCTACATGCAGAGTTCAGTGACATCGACTACACTCTTCCAGTTGTGCTGCTATTCTCACTTTAGATGAAGGCTTACATAACAAAATAGTTTCTCATTTCACAGTTAGTACACATGTTGCCCTATGACAATGGTTAACAACCTCACAACACATCAACACTATCCTTACTCAACCTTGGGTTCCCTATCACCAGCTTTCC